GTTGAAATGCAGGTGGATTCTGAGACACTAGGGCTTCTAAATTTGACAACCAAAACAAGCTACTTTGAATTTTCTTCATGTGCTTGTTTTGTTGTAAGTAACCCCTCTAGCTGTATTAGGGGTTAAACTTACACCCTTATGCATACCACCACTGAGCCGCAGCTACAGACTTGTGTATGGTTTTTTTGAGGGGGAGGTTCCAAGACAGGGTTTCTCTATGTAGCTTTGGAGCCTGTCCTGGAACTTGCTCTGTAGACCAGGCTGGCCTCGAACTCAGAGATCCACCTACCTCTGCCTCCCAAATGATGGGATTAAAGACATGCACCACCACTGCCTGGCACCTTGTGTATGTTTTTTATATGTCTTCTTTTTTCTACTTTTTTTTCCAAGACAAGATCTTATAATGTAGCCCAGGCTGACTCGAACTTGCTGTGTGGCCCACTTATGATCATCTTGCTCAGCCTCCTGAGTGCTGGGATCACAGGCATGCACCACCTTATGCTGGGGAATAATCCTTCTCTATGCTGTGAATATGTATTACTCTCATTGGTTAATAATAAAGCTGATTGGCCTATAGCAAGGCAGGATAGAGTTAGGTGGGACAATCAAACTGAGGACTCAGAAGAAGAAGGGTAGAGTCCAGAGAGACGCCAGCCATCCAGACTGCCGCCAAACAAGTAGGACATGTAGAAAATGAGGTAACAAGCCATGAGCCACATGGCAAAGCATAAATAGAAATATGGGTTAAGTGTGAGAGTTAGCTAGTAACAAGCCTGAGCTATCAGCTGAAGATAATATAATCATTTATATTTATAGGCACCCTCTGAGTTGGTTATTTGGAGTCAGATGGTTGGGACAGGAAAAGTCTGTTTACAACCATACCCAGCTACCTCATCTGAAATAAGGATTCACGTTGGATAATAACATATTGATTTTCACTTTACAACATAAGTAAACAGGGCTGGCTGAATTCTGACAGTGTTTTCTTTCACCCAGAGACAGATCCTGTATTGATCCAATTTGGTGGGAAAAGGAAGAACACTTGTTTTCTTTGTGAATAATCTGATAGAGACCAAGAGGGAGTATGGATACTGGAAAATGGGAATCACAGGTGCCTGGCAGACTACAGTGAGAAGACCTGGCTGAAGACTGAAGACTGGGGCACCAGAAGTAAGTTCCACATGCTACATGTAGTCCTGGAGGGAGTTGGGGCTGGAGGGATGGAAGAATGGATGTGAAACAATTCATAAAGCTGTAACATTGGGAATGGACTTGAAACAATTCTGGAACACTGGAACACTGGATTCCTGGTACTGCACTTGTAAGAACCACAGCTTATACTGCACAAAGAGGTCACCCTAAAAATGTGAGAACCAGACTCTCACAGGATCCCAGAAGGCCCCAGAGGAAGAAGGCAAGTGAGGTTTAAAGAGGGCAGAGCTGAGCAGGGCAACCATGGAGCCACACATGCATCCCTCAAAGCACATGGTTCAGATCTGCGTTCCCTAGCAGCCAAGGTGGAAAGGATGCAGAGTTGCAAGTAGAAGCTCATCATGGGGAAGGCAGTGTTCACTGATGTTCAAAATTCCACTACGGTGATATTTTATTTGTGCTAAAATGTGATTTTATGTGTATGTTGATAAATAAAGTTGCCGGGAGGTCAGAGCTAATAGCAAGCCATAGCAGAAGCCAGTGGTGGTGCCGCACGCTTTTAATCGCATCATATGGTAGGAGAGTCCTTGTGTTCAAGGACATAGCCAGCATGGAGACACATGCCTTTAATCTCAATACAAACCATAGAAGAACTAGAGGTCTGTATAGACAGGCAGTGACGAGGAGGTCATGTAGTTGGGTTTACAACCAATGAGAAGGCAGAACAGAAAGTCAATAAAAAGACAGACACACAGGAAGTAGGTCTCTTTCTGAGGGGAAGGACAGCAGCCGCAGCGGGTGGTAAGAAGGCTGCTGCTCTGACCTCTTGGACTTTTCACTCTGCACTTGGCTCTGTGTTTCTTATTTAATAAGACCATTACATCTACATTCCACCTAGGATCCCATAGCAAGAACACAGTTGCAGCACCATGGGCCACCTCAGGAAACACCCACCATGTGCCATCCCTGCTTCTACTGGGCACACACATATGAGCGCACACACACACACACACACACACACACACACACACACTAGCTGGGCCTGCACAGTACCAGCTCAGTGAAATTTCCTTCCCTGTCCATTGTGGGTATAGACTGAGGCCTTATCCCTCTGAAATGTGTCAAATTTATTAAGAATGCCTATGTCCCCAGGAAGCCCTGGTTTTCCAGAAGATTTGGGTAGGGATGCACTTGATGACCTCCATCATTTTTTCAATCAGGAATCCTGAGGAAAAAAGTAAAAGTTCAAGTTCCACACCTGCTCCTGTTCATCCCCTGAGTCCCTGAGTCCACTGCCGAGGAGATCTCAGCTGACCTGTAACCAAGAGGGAACTGGGTTAGATGGGAATATGGAATGTTGCTCACTCAACTAAGTACCTCTCAGTATGTGGCATGAATGTGTGTTTTTGAGATAGCAGCACTACCCACAGGTACCTCTCCCAGTATGTCCCCTAAATGAGTCCTTTGTGTTGTTGTGGGCACCCATGAGAACCACAACTGAAGAATGAGGAACCAAGTCTTCCTTGCTATTGGTCATCACCATCTAGGGACTCACATGGATTCCAAGATTTAATAAACAGGTTACAAGAATTTACTTTAAAGACTTGTTGTGTGTGTATTCACGTATGTGCAGCTGTGAGCACCTTTGTGTGAAGAAACCGGCAGAGGGTGTTGAACCCTTCAGAGTTGAAGTTACAGGTATCTGTGAGATGTCCAGCTTACATTGTGATGGAATCCAAGCTCTGTCCCTCAGAATTAACGGCTGAGCCATCTTGCCAGTCGCATAAATATCTGTTGTCTTCGTGATTTTCCTATTGCTGTGGTAAGACCTTGACCAAGGCAATGTATAGAAGAGTTTATTTCGGGATTACAGATTCAGAGGGTTAGAGGCCATGACCGTCATGGCAGGGAGCATGGCGACAGGTGTGGAGCTGGAGCAGTGACTGAGAGCTTGTACTTGATCCACCAGCATGAGGCAGAGAGAGTTAAAACTGGGAATGATGTGGATTTTTGAAGCCTCAAAGCCCACACTCAGTGACACACCTCCCCCAACAAAAACCACATTTCACAATCCTTCCCAAACAGTTCCACCAACTGGGGACCAAGCATCCAAACACATCATCTTATGGGGCCATTCTCGGTCAAAGCACCACATTTGTTAAATGGGGAAAAGAAAGAGAGAAGAAGAAAGGAAAGAGTGAGGGAAGGAAGAGACAGGGAGCAAAGAATGAGCTGACAGGAAAGATACATGGCCCCTGGTCCCAGTAGGCCTTTAAGGGGACAGTCTTGAGAGACAGGCCTGGGGAAAAGGCATAGGGAAAACTGGGTTGGATCTCCAGACTAAGGCAGCATTTCCTGGTGGCAAAGGAATCTAATAGCGTCCACATGGACTGCAAATGTGGCTGGTCCCAAGGCAAGGACCCAGAAGGTGTCCTGGTGTCTCCAGAGGAGAAACTAAACCCCTACCAGACACACACACACACACACACACACACACACACACACACACACACACACACA